GAATCCTATCCTGTTTCCTGGCTTTAAGCAAAGTTCCGTGGTATTTCTTTGATTTAAGTTAAAACTGGTTTTCTTAATAGTAATGAGTGAACTCATTATTGAAAGTAGTTAGATTTTGTAAGAAATTGTGTGATCAATACAAGATGAGTGGGAAAGGAATGGAAGACAATTGTAGACACCAGAGATAGTGTGAGAAGAGGGTGGGAAAGGACAGAGGGTGAGAAAGAGGGGTAAAAATAATTCTAGGAACTAGAAATGGAAAATTTTTTATAATATGAATGATTAAGTTACTATGCAGTATATACTGGACTTGTGTCCATAGAAACGTATATATCAGCTGTGTTTGCTATGAAAATATTTAGATTAATCAAGGTCTTTAGTAATTCAATACAATGTGGGGGGAAAACTATATAGAAAGCAAACATAAATACCAGAGACAGTGTGGGAGGAGAGTGAGAGATGGCAGAGGGTAAGAGATAGGGAATGGATGGGGAAAAGGAAAAAAAGCAAAACATACAGAAAACAAGAAATGGAAAATTATTTGCTGACAATAACATGTTTGTTGATGTGCTTGATTGAGACAATATACAGTGTACTCTGGATGGAAAATCTCATTTTGTATGCTGTAATGATGTACAGTGAATGAATGCAAATAAATAAATTAATAATAATAAAAAAAAGGACACTTGGTTCTGAGACCTGATTCCTTCCTACCTGTACTAGGTGACTGGGGAATCTGAACAACCCAGAGAGTTTCTGCAACCAGGAAAGATGGTGGGAGTCTCCTATTGCGTGGAACTCTGAACCTCCAGACCCTTCTGTTCCTTAGAAAACAAACAAACAAACAAAGCCAAAAGCCCATTGGTGCTCACATTTGCCTCTGGACCAGAGGCCAAGCCTTGACTTTGCTCTGAGCAGCACCTGGCTCTCCTGACCAAGCCAGAGGTTCTTGGAGTTGCCCAGGGAAGCCAGATGACAACAGAGTCTGTGTTGGCAGGAGTCTCAGTGGAATTGGAATCAGTTTATATCAGAGCCTGCAGCTGGTGCAGTGTTGGAGGCGCTGGACTCCCACATGGCCGACTGTGGGTTGAGTCCCAAATCTGGCGGCTTGCTTTCTCACTTTCTCATGCACACACGTACGCTCCCTCTTTCTCTCTCTCTGTCTCTCTGGTGATCTCTATATGTGCTTTATAGCAATTTTTTTTTTAAATTGCTATCTTCAGCCATTTTCTTTGCAAGGAGGGAAAAGTAGCTATCAAGAATGAAGGAGAGAGGGACAAACAAGAGCACCTAATGAGTCCGTGTGCTAAAGCGTTTGGATATGTTCAGGAAGTAATCTTGCTTTTCAGAGATAACCCTGAAACGTTTTGCTTAGAAATAGGTTGGATTAAAACATTCTGAACCAAGAAAGTTTGTCTCAGATTGTTAGAAAAGGAAGTCCGCTGTTGAACCAGACAGCTACAGTTGTCACAGTTCATGTACAATATTTGTTAGAATTGCCCAGCTTTTTGATTAATGTTCTAAAATATTAGAAATTATAGAACCCCTCTTATTAATCTGGTTTATAAACTAATTTTGGTGTTCTTATGGTTTCTTTAGAAGCTTTTTCTACTTTTATTTATTTTCTGGAGGGTGTATCTAGAGAGAGAGAGACAGAGAGAGAATAAGAACAAGAGCCCCCTAATGGGACATGGTCATACCAGAGTCTGCTCTCCTTCATTTTCCGTCAGTCAGGATTTGGGGCATGAATATACAAGCACCTGACATGTTTTTTCATCTGCCTGGGCTAGGATTTGAAACATGGAATCCAGCTCCCTTAAGCACTGTGCTAAGGGGCCAACCCAGAATACTTATAATTAAAAAAAAAAATCAGTATTTGCATTTGTGACCATTTCTGTAGTAGTCTTTTCCAGTGTAGAGGACCTTTAAAACTTAGCCTTAACTTTTGGACATCTTCATTGGTCTCAGCTCCACGCCATCACCATGCATCTGTCTCCAGGAGAGCTTCCCTTTCCAGGTTCATCACTGGGATTAAAATGCATTTTAGTTTAGACTGCCATAGTCTCAACATTTTCAAAACTATTTGCCTTCTACTGTAGTTAGCCTGTTGGCCATCATTCACTGAAATAATGACACTGTTCCACCAGAGATATAATAACAACTTGCATTTGTCCAGCTACAGTATTATGTCTTCTTAATATTGATTTGCTTGTTTTTGACTTGATGTAAATGAATTGCATTTTTTATACAGGATCCTTTCCCCCCGGACTCAACCATATAGCCGTGAGGTCATTTATAGGGTAGCTCATACAGCATGCCATTGTGTGACTACACCATACCTGTTTATTCGTTCTAGTAACAATAGACAGCTCTCGTTATTATGAACAGTGCTAATGTCAGTATTCCTCCGTGTCTCTCTTTGTCATATTTGCGAGTTTCTCTAGCGCAGTAGTTCTCAAGCTTGGCCATGCATCAGAATCATTTGCAGGTTCTTTAAACTAGATTCCTGTGCTCCCACATTTCTTACTTCTGATTCGGGAGGTCTGGAAGTACATCCTGATGACTGCCATTTTAGAAGTTCCCAGGTACTGGTGAACTACTGACGAGAACTCACTGCTTCAGAGTATAAAACCAGTTGTGGAGTTGCTGAAGTAAAATAGAGACTGTGCATTTTCCACTTTAATTGGTAATACTAGGGCCAGCGGGTGGATGGAGGTTAAGGGGGCTGGATCCCACATAGCCAACTGCATGGTTTGAGTCCCGGACCTGGCAGCTTGAGAGACACACGAAATGCATGTGTACGTGCACCCAAAATCCTGAGAGGAGGATGGAGGAGAAGAGATTGTGGCATGACTATCCCTGACAGGAAGATGATTTCTCACTTTCTTACCCAGCTCCTCCCCTGCATGCTTCTGATAAAAAAAACTTAAAAAAGTTTAAAAGTCTGGCATATGTACTCTTTGGAATACCCCTCAGCCATTAAAAAAAAAAAAAAAAAAAAAAAAAACGACTCTGACTTTTAATAGAACGTGAACAAATATGGAAGATTTACTGCTGAGTGATGCAAGTCGGGCTATGAAAAAGAGACATTGTATGTCTCTACTTAATATATACCAACTGTTTACACTCTGTGGCAGAGATAGAAAGATTAGAGGATATAGAGGCATAGAAAATGGTTACAGATACTGGATACAGTGTGAAAAGAGGTTGGGAAAAGGGAAGAATGTGAAGAAAGACATTAAGGAGAAAAGTAGGCAAGACATTTATGGGACACAGAAATGCATTGTTATCGGTGGGTGATAATGTGTGTAGTATCCTCACCTGGACTGGTGTGAAGTGTATTCATGTTGGGAAAATTCACTACAAGCTAAGTGATGTATAGTGATTGATGTATAAGAGAAATAAAATTTTAAAAATAATAATAAAATAAAAAATGATTGGTAGTGCTAGTTTAAATAATAGTGTAAATTAAAATAGTCACATTTGAATTTTTAACAGTCTGGTAAATGTTAATAGTATCTCTTATATGATCAAAAAGAGGAAATCCGTATGCCCCCCCCCACATTAAACCTTGCAGATTAGATAGAACTTACCCCCTTAATGTTATCAGGGGTTAGCAGGTAGTGTGGTGGTTAAGGCGTTGGACTCTCACATGGCTGACCGTGGTTTGAGTCACAGGCCCAGCAACTTGAAAATCACACTGGGCACATGTGCGTGCATGCCCAAAATCCTGAGAGAAGAATGGAGGAGAAGTGATTGTGGCGTGGCCATCCCCCCGGGGGGGGGATTCCTTACTTCCTCCTTCTGTCTCTTTCTCTGGCAAGTGCACATGCTCTATGGCAAATAAATAAATAAATAAAGTTTCCTGGAACAGGTCACAGTTACCTGGCACAAATTCAGTGCCAGGTATTTAAGAAGAATCTTAGATAATTCTTGTGACTTTTAACATTATTTTATTCTTCCGTTCACCTTTTTCAAAAAAAGATCCAAGGAGAAATTCTATGTTAGTGAGAAGGCTCGTTCAAACAGAAGGTACTCCTTTTATCTAAGAAAAGTGTCTTCAGTAGTGTGGGAGGCTGTTTGTGAAAAGCTGGTTAGTTATCGCAACACTCCAACTGCGTTCCTCGGGGGAACTGCTTGAACGCTAGGTCCACGTTGACTTTTGGTTGAACAGCTTCATGTTTTAGAGAAGACGCTCCGCGGAGCTGATCCCTAGTTGAGAAATGCTGCCTTTCGAGTTGGCAGTGGAGACAGCATGCGTCGAGGCCCTGTTTCTGTCAGGTGGCTCAATGCCCTCCGGTGGCCCGTCGTGGTGATAAGGCAAGGGGGCCTTGGCGTGCGCCTCCAGCAAGACCGGGCACTAACGGCTGGCTGTCTTTCAGCTTTCATGACGCTGGCTGTCATACTGCTGCACGTGTTCTGGGGCGTCGTGTTTTTTGATGGCTGTGAGAAGGAGAAGTGGTACGTTCTCCTTATCGTCCTCCTTTCCCACCTGCTGGTGTCAGCCCAGGTGAGTACTGCCCTTGCCTCAGACGGGTTTTTGAAACTCAAGTCCAAGTCCGCATATCTAAAATGGAAGATTCTGGTGAATGTGAAATATGGGAATATTAGGGAATTCAGAAAGTCATACATGCCCGAGTGAATCATTTAAATCTTACAGAGGAAAGCAACCATGGTTAATTCGTGGTTAGGCTTTATTAAAGACTTTTTCCCACATGTTCTTCTTCTAGTGTGCAGTTAACCCTAGTGGTACATTATGCTTATAGAACACACCTGAAATAATTACCATCTTACTACAAATCTAAGGTCTAAATTTTAATACATTTATATAAATCATTACATAAAAATTATTTCCGTTCGTATAAACTGGTTGACCACTTCTGTTTCTTTGGTTACTATAATGCTAGCTCTACCCCTCCTCTTTTTTTTATTGCCAGTGAACATGTATGCTCGCCAGAGAGACAGAAAAGGCATCCCCCCAGTGGGGCGTGGGCATTATTTAGATTCCAGAGCATGGGATTATGAAGTCTAATGGCATGAATATTTCTTTTAAGTACTTGATAGAAATTATTAAAATTTCACCAAGTAGGGACCAACAGGTAGCATGGTGGTAAGGTGCTGGACTTGGACTCTCACACGGCTGACTGCTGTTCAAGTCCTGGACCTGGCACCTTGAAAACCACGCCAGGCACGTGTACGTGTGTACCTAAAATCCCAGGAGGAGAATGGAGGAGAAAGGATTGTTGGCATGGCCATCCCCCTGGGGGTGATTTCTCACTCTCCCTCTCTCTGTCTCTCTCCAGCGAGCACTTGTGTCCTAAGGCAAAAACCTTAAAAAAAAAAACAAACAAAAAACTCTCCAATAATAACTGTGCCATTTTTACTCATTCCGATCAGTGACAAGAGTGCCCATTTCACTCCTTCCTCACTGACATCATAATGCCAGCCTTCAAAACAAAATAAATAAATAAATAAATAAAATAAAAATAACTTGACTACTTACATTTAAAAAAATATTATTTAACTTATGGTGTGACCACACCCCATTGGGGCGTGCTTTCTCTCTCCCCCTCTCTCTGTCTCTCCAGTAAGCGCATGTGCTCTCTGGCCAAAATATACATATATATTAGGTTGTCGGGAAAGTCACAAAATATTTTTCTATGCAAAAATGTGTCATGACTTTTTCAGCAACCTAATATACAGTATTTATTCCTGGGGGTTAAAATTATGGGTTATTTCATTCTTTATATTTTTTGTTGTGTTCCAGATTTTCTATAAGATAGTACTTTTATAATCAGAAAGGAAATTATACAATAAAACAAAAGTCATTTTGTGTCTAAACCGATCAGGTTGTCTAGTTGGGCTTCTTGGCAGGCACCCCCTTTGTCCCTGTAGTGTACCCGCAGTGGTTTTCTCCCCGACCTACGTCAATCTGCAAACTCCTCACTTCCTGGAAAAGCTGTATATTCTAGACCCAGCGCTGTCACTGAGCCTTTCCATGGCTCTGTTGGAACACTTATTTGCATTATTTAGTACAGTTTTACATCTCCAACTAGAGTGGGAGCTTTATCTTATCAGTCTTTGTGTCTCAGTCCTTGGCACATAGTAGGCTGCCAGAAAATGTTGTTGGATATTGTTTAGTTGATACTTTCCTCTTTCTCTCTCTCTTTTTTTTTTTTTTTTTTTTGGGGTTTTTTTCTATTGGGTGCGGG